GCCACTCAAAAGGGAGTTTATGTAGGAAAAATGAATTTGTCCCACATAGGAAAAAGATGAGGAACTCCAAAGGTCATTGCCATTAATGGTAACCTAGTCTATAAATAGTGGCTCATTTTCCTCATTTCAACACAAAAAAAAAAAAGTAAAAGTTTTCAAGTTTAGAATACACTCTTGCTGGTGGTGTAGTTCAGGCACTAGTTCAATTTATGTGGGAAAAATGAATTTGTCTCACATAGGAAAAAGATGAGGAACTCCAAAGGTCATTGCCATTAATGGTAGCCTAGCCTATAAATAGTGGCTCATTTTCCTCATTTCAAAAAAAAAAAAAAAAAAGCAAAAGCTTTCAAGTTTAGAATACACTCTTGCTGGTGGTGTAGTTCAGGCACTAGTTCAATTCGTCGGAGTGGTTTCTGCAGTGTTTGGAAGCTACTGATTTTACCGTTGTATCTTGAAAAATGGACGCTCGTTTTAGACCTCAAGCACGGACGGTGAGGGGGCGAATCTATTTTAAGGAAACTGTGTGTAACACAGATCTCGGGTTAAAATTCTATGTTTCAGTTGTTTAATTCATGCAATTTTTTGTATTAAATTTACAGTCCATGCTTTATGAATTTATAATATATTGTTCGTATGTTTCATGAATTTTAAATTTTATTGGAACAAAAGTGATTTGTTGGAAATAAAACTTTCAATGATCGGGTGAAAATTCGATATACGGTTGTTTGAATTTTGTTGATTTGAATAGTTGCAAAATTGAAAAGTTTTGTCAAAAAGACCTAAACTATCTAAGAAAAGCTTGGGATTTAAGCGGTTTAGTTGTGACCCCCTCCTCATTTGGGAGTCTTTTAATTGCGCATTATTCAAATTGACGAGACGAAAGACAAAATTTCCTGGTTTTATCCACATACATTGAATTTCCTACAACTTTTAGTTGCTTGGCATAACCCTAAGTGCAACATTTTCACGTATTATGTTGTATTATTTCATTCATTTTGTGTATTATTTAGACTAGGGAAAGCCACATATATGGCAAACTCGTTAGTCAAGCACAGCGTAAGACTGACTACGGCAAACTAGGAGCCCTTCACTTGCTTGGAAAATTAGCATAACATGGAATTACAAGCACTTAAACATTGGCCAGTAATTCGCAATACAACTATTTAATGCTCGACTCATTCACCGGACTATGTAGGGCCTGGAAACAATAGTATCCTTGAAGACCTACATCAAAATGCTTACTCTTTGCATGTAATTATTACGGTCAAGAGACAGAATTCTCTCTGCACCTTGCTAGAAAACTCCAGACTAAGTTCACAATACAACACAGTCCTTTTTTTTTTTTTTTTTTTTTTGTCAACATACATCCATTTCTCAAAATGCTTGACCACTTAGGAGAAAAGGAGAGGGAGGGAAAGTGGAAACCAAGGAAAGATTTTGGACGTTTGATCAACTATTATAAATGAACATGGTTAATTGTAAAAAATACAAATTGATTAATCTAGTCGGTACTTGTTAGAAAAGGAGGAGATGCACTTTGGAGACTTTTTGATACTTAAATTAGTGAGGTCAAAAATGAATAATTTAAAATATAGTCCGGAAAGTTGGCTTAGAAGTCCAAGTCGATCAACATCCCAATCAATTCGATTGATTTGATCACACTTAAAATTGATGTCAATGTTCGAAAAACTTATTATTATTAATTATCAATGTTATTTTCGAATCAAGTAGAACTCATATTTTTGCAGTTGCTGGTTGATTTCTGTAAGTAATGCATGTAATTTATATTTCAAATGTCATCAGTAATTAATTATTACTGTTAAAGGAACAATGTTAGTTCAAAGATTCAAGTTAAAATAAAGTGTTTTTCGCCGTCATTTTTGAAAGAAATTGGTTGTGTTTTGATGGTCGTCAATATAACTATATAGTCAAAATCGTGTCTAGTTATGGGAGTCTAATCAAGAAAGCCCACAATCATTTGACATTGGCCAATATGTCAATTCGCTCTAGGTGACACATTCACATGATGAACACTAGTTATGTGGACATTTGAGCTGATAGCCTGCATTGGATATATTATGACTGCATGCTACACACGAGCACAACATATATTTAAAACATACTCGATATCTTTTACCTAGAAGTTTTATTGAATTCATTGCTAAGACTAGTCATATAAATAAATATAGGGAAGATTGCAATAGAGGCGTCGAATTTTTAAAACATTAGTAAACTTTTTTTAAATCTTTAATTTGTTGTAACCATCATTTCAAACATTTCGAAACGTTGCGGCAAATGTCCTTTTGGACGATTTTCATCCAAATGTCTGTTATTTAACTAGAAATTTGACTTTAACTATGTTTTAAATATTTTTGAAATGATAAAATAATAACTTTCCATTTATTACATTAAAATAAGTTAGAAATTAAATTTAAAAAAATAAGAAATTAAAAAAAATCAATCGTCTTTTTCCTCTCACCCCACCCCCAAAATCAGTTACCGACCATCGCCATCTCCATCCCCAATCATAAAAATCCAAATCAAAATACAACTCACAGAAATATAAAAACAAAGAAACTAAAATGTAACATCGACAAAGAGAAAATTTCTTATTATTGAACAAATAATGATGCTTAAAAATCAACATTTCCAAACTAGGGGAAATTTTGAAATTAGGCTCAGATTTGATGTTTTGACCAACAAAGAGAATCAACCACGCCATGGCTGCAATTTTGGTTCTCGACAAGGGTATTTGAGGGAAAATCAAAACTTTGCCACAAAACAACGACATCTTCAAGCTTCTGGATTTGGAGATTCGAGGTGTTGGAGAGCCAAACATAGTCTCCATCTGTCTGAGTTGACCAAAGTACCCTTGTGTGAGGATCATGTAATATAAGGATGCCATTGAAGAAGAGCTCCGTCGAGTGAGCCCATCTCGGTAAACATGTCGTTCTGGCATACCACAGTTGTTTCGAAGACTGGATGTGGAGAACAGCTAGGTTGAGCTAGTTTTTATTGACTCGGAGGAAACCCAGTGAGTAATTACCAGTAGAATTGCTGAGTAATGGCTTTGGAGAGAGGCAACCACCCATGAAATCTGAATCTCTCCATAATCCTCGTTCTTCCCTTCCAAGTTGATTTCTGTGGGTTACAATTTCTTATTTCTTATTTTTTCTAATTTAATTCCTAAATTATTTTAATGTAATAAATAGAAAGTTACAATTTTACCCTTTCAAAAATATTAAAAACATGGTTAGAGTCAAATTTCTTAGTCAACTAACAGACGTTTGGATAAAAATTGTCAAAAAAGGCTTCTGTCGCAACGTGTGAAAAGTTTGAGGTGACAGTTACAACAAATTAAAGATTTTGAAAAAATCTACTAATATTTTAAAATTTTGGGACTTCTACTACAATTTTCCCATAAATATATGAATAACCTTATATATTTAAGTTAGCTACAATACAACGTCTTTTACTTTTTTTTTTTAGTCTTTCAAAATCTATATAAAAGAATAATCATACTTGGTCAAATTGTACACCATGTTGCAAAGTGCTACTTCCAACCAATTAGTTTTTTACAACAAGGCATATGTCAACAATAAAATCAATCTTCAAACGTACGAATGACAAAATCGTATAAAAAAAATTGGTTTCAAAATGTTGATAACTAACACAAAACATTATATAGCCCCCGTTTGTCCCTCAATTTTTCATTCCAAAAAATTAATTTTCTGATCGTTATATCACTTATTAAACCGTCATTTTTAAATTTTTCACTTACAGATGAAACTCACTTTTCTCTCTAACGATCAAAAAATTAATTTTCATAATCACTATCGAACATGTCCATAATATCTTGAAATTCTAATCATATTCCCAATGAAATATGGAAAAAGACTATAAAGTAAGATTTTTTATCACCCATGCAAGTGGTGCATTTAGGGACGGCAATTTAGCTTGTCAACTAGGTTCGAAAAAAGCCAACTCGAGACTCGGAAGAATCGAGCCCCAATTTGGATGAACGGGTTGAGCTCAAGCCGACCCACGAGCCATTAAAAAAAAACAAAACTTGGAGGCAGCACAATGCATCATTAAAAAAAAACAAAAACAAAAAAGGCGAGCCTACCCTGCTCGGCTTGAGTTGAGCCTAATTTTTTAGGCTTTTGCTCGGACTCGAAAAAAAGCTTGCACATTTTACCCGAGTCTAGCCCGAGCCCGAGCCTCAGGTTTTGGCTCTCGAGCCGACTCGACTCGACTCGACTCGTTGACATCCTTAAGTACATTCCATTGAAATACACGAAGAGATCATTAACTACTTGTTTGTGCTCCAATAATGTATTATGGAATAATGATTAATGTTGAAATATGTGGTCAAAAAATACGAAAAATTTTTAATTTGCGTGAGATATTATTTTAATAAAGAATGTCTGATTAAAAATGAGTACTGTAGAAAAAAAAATGTGTAAAATGTACACCAATGAGGCACAAAGAAAACCTAATATGTAGGGATGTCAAACGGGCCGAGCGGCTCGTCGGCTCGACCGCTCGGTCCGTGGGCTGCTCAAGCTCGTCATTTGACAAGCCCGAGCCAAGTAAGGGGCTTGATCCCACGAGCCAAACCTGCTCGG